ACTAGTTATAAATCTGGAACAGCACTGGGTGGAAAAAGTCTAATTTATTAAAATCTGTATAATTAGGGATTAACTATTATAAACTATTCAAATTATAGCACATTGCTAATTGTAAATGTGCCTATATATGTTACATATAGAGTAATGTGTGGTTAGTTTTATAAGTGAATTAATGAATAAAGGGGTAAATATAAAGATCTGTGCATACAGCTTATAAGCTATAAAAAAAATCATGTGTGATAGAATACTGTGTGATGTAAAAAAAAAAAATGTTTCAGATTCATTAAGCAACATTAAATCCGATTATTTCATGGATGCCATGTATTGCATATCATCATGAATAAATGTATAAAATAATTTTTTTCTCCATTCTTACCCATATATATGAAAAAAACATGTATATATATAAATATGCATATTTACGAAAGCGCACATCCATTTATATATAGAAATATATACAAATTCACACATGCTCGCGTGTAAGCCAGCAAATGGAGGGATAGATAAAGATGCTGAAAGGTTTAGAAAGGCGTCGACAACTATTTGACATCACAGTAGAGCAGGAATGTGTTCTTTGAAAATAACGTAAATAAAACTACATATATACTCAAATGTATGTTTAATGTATACAACATAGAAAATATTCCAAAGTAAATTTTAAGGATTTTTATTCAATTGTAATCCAAAGGTTGATGGTTATCTAATGCATTGTTGTTTTGGACAAGTGAGAATATTTTCATTTATTATTCTATACTAAGAGAATAATGAGAAAAAGTAAAACAAATAACTTATTGCCTAAGTTAATAAAGTAATATCATTACCTCTTTATGTTATCAAAGTAATAAGGTTTCAGTGGCCTTTCATACCTACATTTGTCAATCATAATCTGCACTATGGTTTACAATCACTACAACAAATATACCAAACATGAAGTAATTAGTTATGTTTTAAGTCTTGCTTATATTTTAAGGTGTTCTGATTTACAGTATCAATTCATCTTTCATAAGGATTTAGGAGTCTTTGTACTGTATGACTGAAGACTTGACATTGCGCAGTTCCGTACAAACCTCTAGTTTTGTCGGTGGAATATCAATGAAACCGAGACAAGGCGGCGAAGAGCTTGTTGGTGTTGGGCATTAGTTTGCATAACAAGTTTGTGATTTAATGGTAGAATCGCCCTATCAGCAGAAAGACGACGGTGGTAAAAAGCGATGGAAGTGATGTAGCCTCGCTACTGTTGCCAGGTGAGTCTGATGGCAATACACAAATAATTTACAAATTAACAAATAATAATGAAATAATTCATAGATAATAAAATAAATAATACAATTAATAAAACTAATAAATTGAGTATCTAAGCCTTGAAGAAGCTTTCATCTTGTCAAATATGTATATACTGGTGTCGACCAGACAGACGTGGCAGGGTAGTGTTATTTGCGAGATTTCTGTATTCGCTATCTTTAAAATTATCAAATTTAATCCCTGCCTGTCTGTAGAGTTTTAGAGACCAGATAGAAACTGGTTGTAATCCGCTATCATTTAAGAACCTGAAATCTACACGCGGCAGATATTTAACAGCTTATCTGATGAAATTACTCACCCGGAAGGTGCGTGGCCTGGCGGCGCAGAAGGGTGCTCGTGAGCCCTTTCACGGTGGCTTCCATGAACTCCTCCCGTTCTTCCGTCAACCAGGCTTTGGGAGGGCAGACTCGGCTGCCGCAAGGACTCTCAGGCATGGTTCGAAGTTTCTCTGTGCGGGAGGTGAGGAGCAATATAAGGAAATTTGCATTTAAACATCAATTTTGTTCCATTTTTTTTTCTATTTTACGCCAATTCTCTCTTTCTCACACACACAAACCCACTCTCAATCCCACTTTTAGCCCTCTGGACATTACCAGTGTCACTGATAAGAATAGCTGGAAGGGGCGTGGCTGTTCCGTTGACTTGGAAGGACCAGAATTCAACGGATTCCTGGGTGGTCAGTTCGGAGAGGATATGGTTCTGTTGGAGTACTGTGGGCAGCGTCATGTCCTCCAGACGGAATGGCCTCTTCTTGCGATCCTATGAGAAACGTTCTGTAGTATGCTTGCACAAAAAGTATGTGTGTATACATGTATGTATGTTTATGTATGTAATTAATAATTATAATAATAATTTAGTTTAATTCCATTTGTTACAATGGATATTCTTGGTGTGACACTCTGTCTGTTTCATGCTGCTTCTAAATTATCCCCTGTGTGCAAGGAATGGCCGGGGTTACCATCCACTGGCAGCGAGGGATTTGAACGCAGGTCAGCAAGATTGCTAGACGAGATGCACCATACAGCATACATGTATGTGTATGTATACATATATTTATATTATATAATATATATCATTTGTATATGTATGTGCACATATATATATATATATATATATATATATATATATATATATATATATATATGTATATATATATGTATATACATATATATATATATGAGTGTGTGTGTGTGTGTGTGTGTGTATACATATGTATATATATATATGTCTGTGTGCGTGCGCGCGCGCGTTCGTGGGTGCGTGTGTGTTTACGTGTGTGTGTGTGTTTGTTCATGAGATTGTATACCTGTGGTTGTGGATATCGCACGAGCACACAAACATGTCTGAGTGTATACAAATGTATATACATATATATATATATATATATATATATTTATATATATATATATATATGTGTGTGTGTGTATGTGTGTGTGTGTGTGTGTGTGTGTGTGTGTGTGTGTGTGTGTGTGTGTGTGTGTGTGTGTGTGTGTGTGTGTGTGTGTGTGTGTGTGTGAAACTTGAGAAAATATTTTTCATAGACATAATTTGAATTGTATTATCATATATTACTATAAGGTTTAAGAAGTTTAATCGGAATAAAATCAATAGAGATAGATAGATAGAGAGAGAGAGAGAGAGAGAGAGAGAGAGAGAGAGAGAGAGAGAGAGAGAGAGAGAGAGAGAGAGAAAGGGGAGTGCGAGCTTGCAAGAGAGAGAGAGAGAGAGAGAGAGAGAGAGAGAGAGAGAGAGAGAGAGAGAGAGAGAGAGAGAGAGAGAGAGAGAGAGAGAGAGAGAGAGAGAGAGAGAGAAGCAAAGGCGCACAGACTTATGGATGGATGAGCCAAAGTAGATTGTGCCTCAACATCCCGTGCAATGTAACCACTTCCCACCCAACGATACGAGTATAGCCACTAATGCAGCCATTCCGAACCTCACCTTCCGATAGTTGCCCACAAACTGATCCCTCAGTTTCTCGGATTTCTCGTCAGGCTGTGTGACGACGCCGATGAAGTTACCTTTGTTGCTGTCCTTAGCCATGCTGTTGAAAGTGTCCGGGAACATCTGCAATAACGCACTGTATTAGCTCCTGGACCATGAGGTTTTATTTGTATAAACGGTTTAAATGCAGTGATACACTCTGGTGCATTTAACAGACTCTGGTGGGTTATGTGGATGACTAACTTACCCTGCGGAAGTTCTCGGAAGTGTCCTGAGAATTAGGTTCCTGGTTGACATTCATGATGGAGTCGACGACGAAGGCTCCTCCAAAGTTGGTGTCGGATTTGTTGAGGTAGTCCCACAGCCATTCGTTGACGAAGTACCAGCCTCCGGACTTTCCAGGTCCGTTCTGTGGTGATTATAAATGCACGGGTTCAGACTCACTCAGTAAAGACATTACGCAGGAGAAGAGAACAATAAACGTCATTTCAAACGGAGTTGACTTAGGTTTACGTACATCATGCTCCTTCGTGTTGAGATCGAAGGCGACGAAGATTGTGGTAAAGTTTTGCCTGAAGGAGCCTGACCATTTGACGTTGTGCATGAAGAGCCTCGCCGTCTCAAGGAGGGCTGCAATTCCGGCGCCGTTGTTGAAGAGGGGTCCTGGGCTCTCGCGCGTGTTCGTGTCGTAGTTGGCTCCTACGACCACTACGGCGCCTGGCTTGTTGCTGGTGGCCGAAGCCACTCCGATGATGTTGACGCCCTCAACCTGTAGGTATAATTTTTTCAGTTTATAAGCGCATTATAAGATTAACTCGCAATAACTTTAAACATATAAGTATGATTATGCCAATTATCGAGCGTTGTCGAGCGTTTTGTGAGAATTATCAAATTTCATGCCAACTCACAGTCTGGTCGCCCTCAAGTGTCCAGACTGTCGAATTGAAGGTCTGCTTCTGTACTCTGAGCCCATAGTAACCAAACTCTTTTTCGATGTAGTTTCGAGCTTCAACCCAATTATCTTCATGATTGTTACCCGGGAAGCGATACTCGGAGAAGTGCTGCAGTTTCTCGACGATTTTCACCTCCATATCAATATCTGCGGCCACCAAACTAACGCCTGGAAAAAGGGAATATTTACTACATGACGCTGTGGCAAAGCCTTCGTCACGGCTTAGATGTCCTAGACTGCCACGCCCTCATGCCGCGGCGATATGACTGTGATTCGATAACAAGCTATTTTTCATGTCTAAAGACTCTCACCTTGCCTTTTTGCCAAACCTTCATTTATCCTTCTCAGATGTTAGAACCACAGAATTTAGGTTGATGAACAAGCAGCTAATGTCATTCCTTATCACAGACAAGAAATACCTGTGGGACTGCTATTCAGTTACATCATCAATATTCTCTGTGTCTCGGTACTGTACTCTTTTAACTAAAATTCTCGGAAACATATCTAAAAGTCTTCTGGCCTGGAAATGACACTTTTCTCTTCCCACAAAATAAGTAGCCTTATCAACGAACAGAAGAATTTTGTCTCCAACCGAAATAGGAGATAAGAATCCCCACGGAAGAACCTGCCGGCTTTCTCATCCACTTACCCAAGAAGAACGCCAGCAGTCCTAGTACTAGTCTTCTCATTGCGGCCCCGGTTCTTCAGGTTCTCCTGGTGTAAATGAAGGTGCTTTACGTGTTTCTCACACTAATAGTTAAATTTGGACGGAGGTTGGGAAGAAGACAAGAGTCCCCCGCGCACAGACGCCTGGGTTACAGAGATCGGACTGACTCAGCCGGGGGTGCTGTTCCTCGTTTATCATGCCTTATCAGTGCGCTGGTCTTCTTAAACGCATTGCGTAAGGTGTGATTTTGTCATAAAGCTGTGTCGTAGGTGAAAAAAGTAAATGTTCACATATTTTTATAGTATATTCTACCTGTGTATGATTCTTAGGATATTGGGGAAGTATTCGTAAAGCTATCAGAAAAAAGATGGACATTATACGGCATAGCACCTCCTTTCTGATGCATCACCTTTTTATCAGCAGTTTCCTTGTGTGTGATTGGCTAATGCCGCTGGAAGAACTTCATGAAATAATTTCCTCATAGCTTTTTAAAATTCTGCCCACGCAACGGCCGGGAATAAATCATTAACGGACTTTTTCTTCATTTTAACTTTTTTTTCTAAGCCTATCATAGTCAATGGCAATTTATTTTCGAACTTTGTTATTTATGAAAAAAAGGAAATGTGTGAGATTTTAAAATCTTTCTTGCCCAATAAATGTCCAAATATGATTTATTGTGGAACACCCTAAAGATAAGTAGGATAAAGAGGACATAGTGATTATGTGAATAGATAAGATGAGATAAGAACTCTCTACCTGACCTCATCCTCAACCGTTTATCAGAGAATCTCAATACAAATTTATTTCCATACATCAAACATGGACCCACGCGATCACAATGTATGTTTATGTATATGTGTGTGTGTGTGTTTGGGTGTGTGGGGGCGTGCATGCATGTCGCCATTCTGCCAACACCTTTTGGTCGGACAGATACACTCATCGATATCAGAAAGTCGTTGTGTAGGTGTATATTTGCGTTCTTTGGAAGTGAGTAATCAATAATCATATAGATCCCACCATAAATGAATAGATAATGGATATATATATTCATTTATTTATTTATATATCACACACATACACACACACACACACACAGATATATATATATATATATATATATATATATATATATATATATATATATATATAAATATATATATATATATATATATATATATATATATATATATATATATATATACATATATATATATATATATATATATATATATATATATATATATATATATATATATATATATATATATATATATATGTATATACACACATATATATGTGTGTGTGTGTGTGTGTGTTTGTGTGTCTTAGAATTACATTATATATATAATTTTTATATAATTATATATATATATATATATCATTCTGATTTACATACATACTAATGTAAGTTATAACATTGCATCTTTTAACTACAAAACGATATGCATACTCATAAGTCCGCTTTTTTAACGAGATTACTTGCCTGCTTAATTTGCCTGGACTGTTTATCCCCATCCAGAAATACCTAAACCATGTCTGTTTTTTACGTCTCGGTTTTATTCTTTTAACAATAACTTATAAGTCCTTTACTTGTTTTTAAATATCCAAATCAGGTATTTTATTGGAATTATAAATGCGACCAGCGGAGTACCACACGAAAAATGGCCACATTGATTTGCGTTTCGCGAAACAATTGCGATGGTATTTTTGCACATACTGTGTGTCTACGAAGGAAAATAAATCTGCTCCGAAACACCGACGTGTTTCTTTCTCCTCCCAATCCAAGGAACTTTACAGTGATACCACAACCGTTACAGATTCATACTTAGAAAATAAGTAGTTGGCTGCTCATTTTATCCATATATCTACTACACGTTTCATGAACCAAATGCATATTTTGCAAGTGTCTCCGCCAGTAATAAGCCGTCCACATAAACATTAATTTCTTAGTTCTTAGATATTTCGTTTGTCTTATTTTTACCTTTTGTATCTTCGGTGACATTTCATATGATTTTACTGTTTTATTGCTTTGGCTTTGTTTTTATTTTACCTTCACTTTATGGCTAATCTTTCATTTCATCATTACGTTAATAAATACTGTGGACTACGGGTTTAATGAACGAGCTGGCGAAATATTACCGCTCGTTACCACCCGCCTACCACTGCCTCGCCACGCTACGTTCACTCCCGTATTACCTCTGGGAACTCTGACTCGAAGTTCTCTTGATATCAGAACCTTTCACGGGACCATGCTAATGAATTACATATTACACTGCTGCACTCGTAATATATTAAATATCGGAATGAATATTACAAGAATAGCATGAGAGAGACAGTATACCTCTCACACTAACAGTCATACATATATACATACTTTCATGCATCCACACACACATACCAGTACACACACACATATATAGATAGACAAATAGATGTGTATATATATACACACATAGAGTATGTATAATTTTGTTTTGTTTTGTTTTGTTTTGTTTTGTTTTGTTTTGTTTTGTTTTGTTTTGTTTTGTTTTGTTTTATTTGATTTGATTTGATTTGATTTGATTTGATTTTGTTTTGTTTTGTTTTGTTTTGTTTTGTTTTGTTTTGTTTTGTTTTGTTTTGTTTTGTTTTGTTTTGT